TATTGTACCCCCCCGTCCCTTCCCCAGGCTGTGGGCTTTTAGCTCGATGAACTCCAGGCTTTGTGATTAGCAGCAAGGCGATTAGATCGTCCACCTTTCTGGGAGTCATTTGTGCACTAATTGTGTTTGATTGTTTAATTACTCTTGCTTACTGTAATTGAGGAGAGGCAGCAAACCCCTTTGCAAGGGCTCCTAGAGGTTCCTGAGACAGAAGTTGCATGTGCTTTGGTACATCCCATATTACAGGAGGGTAACAGACATTAACCATTCCCAAGACTAAACTGCAAAGAAAATTCTCTGAATGGCAGGTGGAAAGAAGGTGGATTTGAGGGCAATTCACATGAATTCCAATTTTTGTTCAACAACTTTCTGACATGTAGTAGGGACCAAAAAACCAGAAGCAAACAGAATAGACAAAAAAAAAGGTTAAAAAAATTGAGCAGGGTAGTGGTGGAGGGGGGAAATTGCAAACAGAGCTGGCGAAGGTGCCAATAGTCTCTGGGATTGCTGTCTGGGATCCTGCACAGCTGGGAGATGGGGAACCTTCCATTGCAATTCAGAGTTGTCCTTGGACAGTGATGGTGTGACGCAGACAGAGAGTTGGGGTTTGGTTTTTGAAGCTGTAGAGAGGTGCAAATCATAGAATCACAGAGTGGTTTGGGCTGGAAGGGACCTTAAAGACCATCCAGTTCCAACCACCTGCCATGGGCAGGGACACCTCCCACTAGGCCATAGCTGGTAGATTCAGTGGTGGAAACTCCAACCTGGAGCTTTACGTGAACTAGAAGAAAGGCAGGAGGGAAATCTACAGAACAGGGAATGAATTCTTACGTTATTTGGGAAAGTCACATTAGTGATGTGCGTAAGGAGGAGTTACTGTTGGGTAGACTTTGCATCCAAGAACCGACCTTCCAGCGTTGTCACACTAGTTGCCCACAAACCAGGAATCCTTCATGCCTGGCTTTGGCCAAATGTTTGTATGGGATGGTTTGGTGTCTGACTCTGTTTTTATTTTTATTTTCTTTTTCTCCTGAAATGTTGCAACATTTGCTGCAGCCTTGAAGCTCATGGCCTTCAGTCAAGGTCAGCTAGCAGATATCTACTGAGCTTGCCAGAGGGACAGTAATAAATACATCCTCACAAATAGTTGTCCTATCCATCAACGCATCTTCCCCGGAAACCGGAGGTCTGACGTTTGGCAGCACCTCTGCTCAAGGGCTCCCTGGTCCTTCCTTGGAGGATGGGGACCTTTCATTGTCTCCAGCGCTGGTGACAACGAGGATGAGATATGTCTTCCCTAATGAGACCTGACAAATGGGCAACTGGGCTGCTGCTTAGGGAACTTAATGGTTAATTTCCATAGCGCCGTGTCGGGGCAAAGGGCAGGAAGAAGTAATCCTGCTGCAGAGCGGGGATGGGGATGCCTTTCCGTCTGAAAGGTGCTGGTGAAGCTGGAAAGATTGAGTTAACCAGGATTTCTGTGTCAGCGCCCAGGACCTTTTCTAAACAGACTTGTATGATCTAAATACCATGTGACGATTTCCCCTCGCCGCAATCCGGTATCGAATTCAGAGCGGGCCATGCCGTTTCCCATTAGGTTGGAATTAGTTAATTCAGAAGGAAAAAAATGTGTGCCCGTGCGCTGGAGAACCAGTCTGTAGGAGCCGATATGTCAACAATAACTGCTTGAAAAAAATTGTTTTGTACAAAGTTTGGTGGTGTTGGCTGAAAGCCATGGGTTAAAGGGGCTGGAGAGCAAAAGAAAAAGCCTTCATGCCCTTGATGGAGCTTCTTAGGGCTTATAGGATTCATGAAGAGAAGCTGTCTTTGGAGAAAAACATCATTTGGGGTGATTTTTGGGGAAAAAGTCAACTGAAAACAATTTTTTGTCAAAACTCTGCAGGTTTTAAGACAGTGCATCCATATATAGATCCTTTAAAAACAAAAAAGCAATCATTTCATTTTTATGTCCAAAAACAATGAGTGTGCTGAACAGGAATTATTGAATATGTTTTGATTTAATTCAGAATAGCTTTTGCTATTCCACTCTGTGAAATATCAGTATTACCCTCAACATCAACGAATATTGTCCCAAGCGGATGGTTACACTTGTACATGTATTTTGCCCCCTGTGAAAGACAGAACTACATGTACCCGTGTGCATGTACTCAAAATATTGGTGAAGTACTGAGTATCCAGGTTTCTGACAGTAGGTGCTTCTATTTTATACTACCTATGTGTGTACGAAATGACCAAGTAGAACACAATTTTTTGTCAAGAGCTGTGACTATAACAGTGACAGGTTTTGTTCGTTTTAATTCCTTACCTATAATTAAATCTCTTTCAAACCTATAAAATAGAAGTAGGGAAATGAATTCTATATATTCATTTCTGGTTCTTGCAACTTGTTAGAAGTGGTGTTGGCGATTAAGCTACTTGTGATTACAAGAGGCGTGATGTGAGTATTTTTAGCGTGCAGCTGCAGGATTTCTGCCGCCCTTTCGGGGAGGACTAACAGCCACTTGTCTTCTGGATCTGACAACTAGGCAAATACTAACAGCTGCACCCAGATCTGGAGGTGGGCTGAAAAAGCACATGGTCCCATTAAAGGGAGTGTGTACAATAAAGGGAAACTGGTGTCCTCAACTGGAAGACTGGTCAGTACCATAAATACAAAAGATTTTTATGATTGTGATCAGAAAACCCAACAAATTATTTTTATAGCTGTGAGGAATTCTTGATATTATTTTTATCTTTCTATTTATTGTGGATGCCCCATCCCTGGAGGGGTTCAAGGCCAGGTTGGATGAGGCTTTGGGCAACCTGGGCTGGTGGGAGGGGTCCCTGCCCATGGCAGTGGAACCCTATGGTCTTTCAGGTCCCTTCCAACCCAAACCCTTCCATGGTTCTATTTTAATCTTGCTGTGTTTTAACTTAAAATATTGCTATTTGTCCTTTATGTTGATAACAGATGTTAACCATAGGTTGCTGCTGAGAGTTAGGGTTGAACTATGAAGACCTCCTCTCTCTGGGATGAGGGGGTCCTAATTTTTTTGTGCTGTAACATTGCTGCTGAGACCATGTGAACTGACAGTTTCACTCCACACTGCTGATTTCTTGAATAATGGGGCTTGTAAAATTGGTCTCGTTTCATACAGGATTAAAAAAAAAAAAATTCCCAAAATCTCTCTCTAGTATAAATATTAAGTAAGTTCCACATGTGAAAACCCAGTTGCTGTTGAGCGGCTCTGTCTAAGCCATGGACTGGACCATAATCCACCCATCGCCGTTGCTTCTGCAGCCGATGGCTCCCATTGTCCTTGGCCCAGGACCATCAGGACGGTGTCAGCATTTGGCCAGCCTGGCTCCAGTTCTGTGTGTTTCTAGCCCTGAGGAATTAAAAAATGTGAATAATCCTGAATCCATGCATGTACCTGGCATCCTCGCCGAGGTGGGCTCCAGACCCCCCAGAGAGCCGCTGGTCCCATTTCTTTCATCTTTCCTATGGCTAGGAGAGGCTGGCTTTATTTCCTTTTTGCTTCTAATCAGGATTTTATTTTCCCCAGCTGATATGCATCTATGGAGTAAACAAGTAAACCCAATGGAAATTGGGATTTCGCTCTTCGTATGTTACAACAAAATTTAATGCGCCACGCTATGTGTTATCTGTTTCCTTCACTGTTTTTATGGATTTTCACCATAAATAAAAGGGCTGTTTTCAGACAAGAGCCAAAGATAACGACAACTCCTTGATGGCCGTCACACTGCTGGTCCTGTGTGTGCCTCTGCTGCAAGACCGACATTTGGAGGCAGAGGTGGAAGGTGACATCCCCACCCTGGGACATCTTTCCTGAAAAAAAAAAAAAACACCAAACAAAAAAAATTGATTTATGGAATAATAGCTACCACGCTTTCAAAGTTGTTTAGGAAACAGCTGGGTATTGCAGATCTCTTGGTCAGGCTGGGTGGAAAAAAAACCCAACCCAACTCAACCCTGTGTGTGCTGGATGGATGCCAGTGGCCAGGGGAAACCGGTGGCTCCTGCCTGGCTCGGCGGCCGCATCCTTTTCAGCGCTTCCCTGTCCTGCTCAGTTTTTGAGTCATGTTTTTATAATTTTTAAGGCATTGTAATAACATGTGTTATTTAACGATGCATTGGTGTTTTCTGTTCCTGGAGGGCTCCCCACAGCCTGTGTGCAGGGACTGGGATGCTCCTGGAAGCTGCTGGTTTTGGGATGGCTTCATGAGTGGTACCGTGGCGGGTGTTTGTTTCTGTTTAAATTAGTTTCCTTCGTTCAGGGACACGAGAAAAATACGCTGCAGCATTTGTCAACAGTATCACGGAGGGAATAAGACCCTTTGGAGCACGGATGAGGGAAATGCAATAATCACTTTGTGTTATTAACAGCAGCCAGCTGAAGGTAAAGACAACCTGCAGCAGCTGGTGCTCCTTGACTTTCCCCAGACACATGGAAAGTAACGTGGAGCTTCTGGTTTGCCAAAAAAGGTGCATTTTTGAAGGGCATGAACCGGTGTGGGAGACCCATCACTGCTCCCCTGGGCACCCTAACAGGTCTCCACTTATCCTGTTTCCTTTGTTTCCAGTCTAATTCTTCAATTCTTGAGGTTCTTCAATTCTTGAAGCTCTTCAATTATTTTCCAGTATTCTCTAAAAGAAGTAGTTAAATCCTGTTGCAGTGCAGTCTCCAGCGACTTCTTCCATGTCCTGCTGAGGTTTTTGAAAACCAGTCGCTGCCCAGTTAAATTGTGAGCAGTGACAAACCAACCACTCATCCCCTTGGCTCCCATTTGCAGCTCTGGCTGGGAGAGAGTTTGCCTGAGGACAGCTGAAGGGCCACGGGACCATCACGGTTTTGGTGAGGTTGGGTTACCAAGGTGGTGGCCAGGCTCTTGGCGTGTTTGCTTTTCTCATCCCTATTCTCTGCTCTTGCCCAGGTGAGATTTTTTCAGCCACCGCATGAGTACGTCCTCGCCCGGCGATGGTCTGGCAGCCCCCGCCGGCGTGCGTGCTGCTGCTCGGCGTGCTGACCGGCGCCCTGCCACCCGTCCAGCCCCGGGACTTCACCCTGAAGGACATCGTCTACCTCCACCCTTCCAGTAAGCCACCTTTGCGCGGGCTGCAGGGCCCCGGCCGGCCACGGTGCGGGGGTAAGGACGAGGGAGAAGGTGTGTTAAGGCAGCAGAAGCATCAGGGTT